GAAAGAGAGAGAGTGAAATGGAGACTCAGTGCTGAAGACACTGGCTCAGGGACGATGCTCAGCTAAGCAGGGACACAGTTGGGATCCTGTGAACTCTGAAGCTAGTGCTCAGGTCCATCAAGCAGCCTACCTTCCCAGCCTCGTTGCCATGTGGTCAATGAAACTTGGGGCTGTGTCACACCAAAGAGGCACAGAGGGACCTGCCCTTGGACCTGGGACTGAGGTCTTTCTGGTGCTAGAGAACCGATGATGTCACGTGCGGCCTCGGGCTGGAGCTGAGCATGGGTGCAGGGATGTTAGAATCGATCCCCAGGTCAGGAAGGAAGTGAGAGGGGACGTGGGAGCAGTGACGGGGACGGTGGAGCAGGTGAGGCTGCGGTGGCCTTTGGGGCTTCCCAAGCAGGCACTGGCTATGTCCCCTCTGTCACTTGACAGGTCTGTCACTGACTGAGAGGCCCTCAGCTGGGAGGCTTCCAGAGAAGAGCTCTATATACCCTCCGGGGCCTGCGTCCTGATTGGCCTCCTGTTTACCTTCCCAGGAGCCTGACCAAGGGTCCCAGGTGGCCTGTCACAGCACCCACCTTCAGATCTCATTTGCATTTCCTCCCAGGAGGCACATGGCTCCTGACATGATGGTGTGTTTTCTATTACAGACGGAGGTGGATGTTCCAGAGCAGGAGGACCACTTTTTTCTTTATCTCTAATTTTCTCTTTTTTGTTTCTTCTTCTTTTTGGAAGGGCTACTTCTGTGTAGCCTGGGCTGGCCTGGATCATCCTTCTACCTTAGTGCTCGCATGACTGCAGGGTAGGCCTGATGTGCCCTGCCTTCCCTCCCTGCCCAGGAGGCTCGGGGGTAAAGGGCATGTCCTCCTATGCTCCTGCCCTTGACCCAGAGAGGGCAGAATGTTGCCCAAGGGCACAATGAGGGAAGGTCTAACGTTGGATCAGCCTCCAGGCTTCTGAGCCCTGCCCACTCACCCTGATGAGTATCCTGACCCATCACAGACAGCTTCCCTCACAGCCTGCTATATCTGCCTTATCCTCTGAAAGTGTCCTCTGGGGGACAGAGATTCATTCAGACGGAGAGGGAAGAAGTCAAGCTTTCCTTCCATCTGTCCACTTGTTGGGAGATTCTCCAACAATGTCTGATCAGCAACAATAAACCACAGCAGATGCCATGAGGGTGTGTGTGAACTCTGAGGGACGGGGCCTTAGAAGTACAG